AAAAAAAAAAGATGTGGGGTACAATTCAGGGTTAGGTATACAAATGTTCATTATGCAGGTACCCTTGTTGATGAGGTGTGCCCCCTCCCACCCGCAGATTCTCACTACTGACAATCCTGCCCCCCTCATTTTCCCACTACTGCTAATACTTTTCTTATAGTATTACAATAATTGTTCAGTCTGCTTATGAGTGAGAACATGTGATATTCAGTTCTTTGTTTCTGTGATAGATCACACAGTATTATTAACTCTAAGTCCATCTAAGTTGCTATGAAGTTCATAATTTTGTCCTTTATGTTGCATAATATTCCATCGTGTATATGTACCACATTTTAAAAATCTAGTCCTTTTTTGATGGGCAGCACAGTTAGTTCCATGTTTTTGCTATTGTGAACAATGCTGCAATAAACATACATGTGCAAGTATCTTTTTCAAAGAGTGATTTGAGTTCCTCCAGGCATATTCCCAGTAAGGGGATTGCAGGGTCATGTGGAAGGTCGATTTTTTAGATCTTTTAGGAATCGCCAAATTGTTTTCAACAGCAGTTTTATTAGTTAACACTCCTACCAACAGTGTAGAAGTGTTCCCTTTCCCTGCATCCTCTCCAGTATCTGTTGGTTTTTGAGTTGTTGATGATGACCATCCTGACTGAAGTTAGGTGGTATCTCAGTTTGGTTTTAATTTGCATTTCTTTGATGACTAGTGAGGCTGAGCATTTTTTCATGTATCTGTTGGCTGCTCGTATGTCTTCTTTTGAGAAGTGGCTATTCATATCTTTTGCCCACTTTGTAATGGGGCAGTTTGTTTTTTTCTTTTCTGCACATTTGAGTACTTTGTAGATCCTAGATATTAGGCCTTTGTCAGACATACAGTTGGAAAATATATTTCCCAGTCTGTGGCTGTCTCTCCACTCTCCCGATGGCTTCTTTAGCTTTGCAGAAGCTTGGCAGTTTGATGAGGTCCCACTTGTCTATCTTATCTCTTATGGCATGGGCACTTGGAGTTTTAATTAGGGATTGGTTGCCAGTTCCAATTTCCATAAGGGTGTCTCCTGCATTTTCTAAGGTTCTTATAGTTTGAGGTTTTACGTTTAGGTCTTTGATCCATTAAGAGTTTATTTTTGTGTGTGGTGACAGGTAGGAGTCTTGTTTTAATCTTCTGCATGTGGTCAGATAGTTTTTGCAGCACCATTTATTGAATAGGTTCTCCTCTCCCCAGTGGTTGGTTGTGGAGGCTTTGTCGAAGATGAGTTGGTTGAGAAATTGGAATTTTGGTTCTGGAATCTCTATCCTGCTCCATTGGTCTATATACTTGTTCTTATACCAATACCAGGCTGTTTTGATTATTGTAGACTTTTAATACAGTTTAAAGTCTAGGAGTTTGATACTTCACACTTTGTTTCTTGTTTTTGCTGAAGATTGTTTTGGCCATTTGTGGTCGATTATGTTTCCATATGAATTCCTGTATTGTCATTTTCAGGTCTAAGAAGAATACTGCTGGTAATTTAATGGGTATTGCATTAAATCTGTAGATTGCCTTGTGTAGGATGGACATCTTAACAATGTTGATTCTTCCAGTACATGAGCATGGAATATTTTCCATTTGTTTGTGTCATCCTTGATTTCTTTGAGCAGTGTTTTGTAGTTTTTGGTGTAAAGGTCTTTCATATCTCTGGTTAGGAAGATGCCATGGTTTTTCCCTTTTTTGTGTGGCTATTGTGAATGGGATTTTGATTTTATTTGGGTTTCTGTTTGTTTATTGTTGTGCATAGAAATGCAACTGTCTTTTGCACATTTATTTTATAGCCGGAGACTTTGCCAAAGTCCTTTATCAGTGCAAGCAGGTTTTTGACAGATTCTCTTGGGTTTTCAAGGAATAGAATCATATTGTCTGCAAAGAGGGATAACTTGACTTCCTCTTTTACTGTTTGGATACCTCGATCTCCTTCTCTTGCCCTATTGCTCTAACTAGTACTTCCAAAACTTTATTGAAAAGGTGAGATGAGAGTGGGCCTACTTGTCTTGTTCCAATTATCAGGGAAAATGGTTCCATTTCTGTCTGTTTAGTTTCTCATAGGTGGCTCTTACTATATTGAGGTATGTTTCATTTACGCCTAGATATTTTGAGGGTTTGTTCTGGATATTATCAAAGGTCTAATGATATAATTAGGTGACTATTGTTTTTACTTTCGTTGATGTATTTAATTACATTTATGGTCTTGAGAATGTTGAACCAGCCCTGCAACCTGGGGATGAAGCTTATTTGATCATGGTGGATGATTTTTGAGATGTGCTGTTGGATCCGGTTTGCTAGGATCTTGTTGAGAATTTAGCATCTATGTTAATCAAGGATATTGGCCCATAATTCTCTTTCTTTGTTGGATCTTTACCTGGTCTGTGTATCAATGTGATGTTAGCTTCATAAAATGAGTTGGGGAGAGTTCCATCTTTCCTGATTGTCTGGAGTACTTAAAACAAGATTGGTATCAGTTCCTCCTTGTATGTTTTGTAGAATTCTACTGAAAAGCCATCTGGTCCAGGGCTTTTTTTATAGGTAGTTTTCTTATGACATAGTCAATTTCCTGAATTGTTATTGGTCTATTTTGGGTCTCAATTTCTTCTTTTTTCAACCTGGGGAGGTTGTGTGATATAAGAATGTCCTCCATTTCATTTAGGTTTTTGAGTTTGTTTCCATACAGGTGTGCATAGAAATCTCTGACAATCTCTGGTATTTCTTCGGGGTCAGTTGTGACTTTATCTTTTGCACTTTTGATTGTGTTTATTTGGGCATTTTCTCTCTTTTTCTTGGCCAGTTTAGCTAGGGGCCCATCAGTCCTGTTTATCCTTTCAAAGAACCAGCTTGTTGTTTTGTTGATTTTTTTTGTGTTATCTTTTTTGTCTTCTATGTCCCAAATTTGGGCTTCTATTTTCGTGATCTGGATTCTTCTGTTGAAGTTAGG